ACCGTTGTACTGGCGCATTTTTTACAATGACATTGTCGCTAAGGTGTTCGACTTTGATCGGTCATACGGTGATCTGCCTCGAACGTTTGACGAGGTCATTACCCAGGCGCGCCAAGCTGAAGAAACTCAAGAAATCTTCCGTTTGCATGATGACGATGTGCCTAATCCAAAATAGATTCGAATGTGATTTTATAGGATTTGTATTTGTACCTTATTTTGTTTTTAATAAATTTTAGGTGATGTTTTCTCTTTTATGCTATCATTCTATCTTCTCTTCATAAATGTTTGCTTGTGTGCATCATATGATAACGCTTTTGCTTGTAGAACATTTGGATTTGGTGTTTCGAAATGACCGTGCCCCGAGTTATGATTATGTCGTTGCGGTCGTTTTGGATGACCAGCTCATGCGCAGCCAAGAGGTTCGTCTCTTGTTTTTTTTAATTTTTTTATTCCAGTGCGATGCTTTATTGAGAGGTGGTCAAGCCGTATATATTGCAAGCAAATAAATAAATTTTTCGTTTACAAAAAATAAGACCCATCTTACGTTCGGAATGTCTGGGCGATTATGGAATTTTACGAACTACAACGTTATTACGATAGGTTTTCGCCATTCAAATGCGGAAAGAATGCAGGCCGCAAGTTAGTAAAATGTTTAATGATCATGAAAAATGTTGCGTAATATTTTGAGTGACAGTAGTGCCTGTTATTTCTAACAAGATGGGTGATGACATTTCAGCTGTCACTTAAGCGTACACGGTTGGCTTGTGTTAGTCAATATGTGTAACGACTCTTTAATTAGTAGCCCAATATTTGTTCTCGCCTTGTCGCTGGAAATGATACGGACAAACGGAGTTTTCCAAGTAGAAAACATGGGAGTTGACGCCAGAATGTTTCGCTTTCCCATTCCCCAGTGCGCTGAATGCTCCGTAACGCTTTTGTCCAAACTTCTTATAGTTTCCCCGATGTACATGTTCTCGTAGTTCTTGCACTCCATGAAATAAACCACGTTCATCTCTCGTTCTTTCGATTGATGAATTCCTGATAGATCTGCGATCCTAGTGAACCATACATTTTGTAGTAGATATGAAAACCTGCATTCTCGAAGTGTTGTTTGATTTAGCGGAATAGTTTAGGAATAAAGGGGATGGCAACAGTGGAAGCAATCTTACTGTTTGGCATATTTTGAACTTTAGAAACGGCTTTTAGTAAATGTCGTTTTATAATATCTTCACCTTAGCCGTTTTCATGTAAGAAATTTTGTAGATATTCAATTTCTGCTTGGAGGGCAAGCAGAATCACCTCTATGATACCTAAATCTAATGCAATTTGCAATATTATTAAAAACTAATTTAGTGCTTCATGAATTTCGATGTAAGCGTTTGTTTGAATGTTGAGGTTTCGATAAATTCCTGATTCAAACGGTTTTTCATCACTAACTATTTTGTTCTTCAACAACTCTGACAACAACCAGATTTGCCCTTCATCTTTTTTTCCACAGTGTAGATATGTTCAAAATATGGTGGAAATTAAAATTTCTTGCATATGAATGGTCAAGGAAATCATGAAATTTAATTTTCGCGAGAATATCGTCCACAAAAATAGACAGACCGAAGGTTGCAACGAAATCGGGCATTTTGTAGCATGTCATGGGAATTCCGAACTTCTGATGGCAAATAAAACCTTGAATGGAAAATATTGTGCTTTAAAGAAACATTTTTAATATTAAAACCAGATCTTACACTGAAACTTTGTTGAAATTCCTTGATGCTTTCTTTCATTCCTCTTTAACACTGTTACATTAGGAAGAATAAAAGAACGAAGTAAATTTTATTTACTGAAGGATGTCGTCATGAAGACAAAGTGCAGATTAATTTGAGCGGTATTAAGGGAATCCATTACAGGATCCATTGTATCATTAGTGCTTGCAAACATGCTTGCCGGTAACTTTCTATCTATCACCAAATTATCAGATCAAAGGCACGTGCGTTTTTTTCAGATTCATTCGAGATATACAGCGATTCTTTGATTAGGGGGCCGTTGCAAAACCGTCCACTGTTAAGGCAAATAATCTGTTTGAGAAAATGAATGCCAAGGTAGAATGTTCCCAAAACGATGCAGCAATTCTTCGCCTTCCCATTTCTCAGTTCTTTCAGGTGTTCTTTTTTTGCGTTTGCTTACTTTCCTCTGGCTTTTTCAATGTGTTGTCATATTCGCTGCATTGGCTTTTATATGCCACGTTCATCTCCTTTGACCTTCCTTCTTCAGGTAGCGTGTGGTGAATGTGTGGCTCCAGAACTCGCTTTAATTTATAGCAAATTTACAAGCTTTCATTCTACAGGTATCGTTTCATATTAGGAGAAATTGTTGTAGTGAATGCAACGAAATTAGTGGTGGTATTTTGAGGTTTATTTGTGTGACATTTTGTTTGAAAAAATTTTTTTAGGAACTTTTTTACTGCCACTGTTTTTCGAAAGTAATTGATCACGTTATATTTTTGCCTTGTTAGCTGAATTGGTAGTACAAATCGTAATAGTTAATTATTTATTTCTCTTAGAATGTTGTGCTTTTCGATATACTACGAAGTCAGACGTTTAATCTCTGAATGCCATTATTTTAACCACATATCCCATAAGGCTAGGTGGGTTTTACTTTGTTTCCGCGGTGAGGGCGATTCATCTTGTGTTGTCACGAATCAGTCAAATTTTTCTGCATAAGCATTTTTGTTCCCAAACGAACTCGGCAGTCCTCGGTATTTCTTTATTTTTCGATGTAACCAGTCAAGAGCTGTCCGGATTTCCCGTGCTTCTTACCCATTAGTCACAATCCTCCTCGTAGATAACATGTTACGAGTATATTTATGTACATTCTTTTGAGTTAATTAACAGCAGTGACCGTCGGTACTTCAGAACATATTTGTTAAAGCTGTTTCTACCGTTTTGCTTTTTCCTGAAATATCTGGGTCAATTATTGGGTGTGTAAAGGTTCGTTGTACGTTTGCGTTTCTATAATGAAACGGATTGCTCAGAAATGTAAATAATCACTGCGTGGTCAGCATCTGAACGCGGAGAGAAACTCTTTTATGGTGTTCGTCACTCTCAGGAGGCCAAGGAGTCTGCAGAATTTGATGGTTTCTTCTTGGTCGTGCAAGTTGGCCAGCCAGATGCTAGGCGCAGGTATTTCCTTCCTGGTCGTGCGTTATGGGTGGATGAGTTTTGATGGGTCAGATCGTTTTTTCTGCTCGTGTCTTTCGCTGTCAGTTAGCGATGCTGGAATGCCGACGTGCGGGATACGCACCTTTGATGTTTATTACCTGCTCTTCCCCATATCCAAGGGTCCGCCACATGTGGAGAAAGGGGCCACACTTTTTCAACGTGGCTTTTACAAGTCCTCAACGTTTTGCTTATTTTTTCGTCTGGTGGTGAGTGCATTCCGTTTTTAATGTAACTCGCTGCTTCTAAATAAGTTTTACTTCCTTCAGAAATTCGAGCCGTCTATCTGCTAATAGACCAGACTTGATTATACCGTCATTTAAGTCAAATAATAGCTCATTCACTACTTCCTCTACAATTATTCATGATATGTGACCCTGAATAATTCACACCCTAATGGTTTTTAATCTATGTTCTATTTGAGCCGAAGCACATGCAAGTATAAAGATCTGCATGGAGAATCAACTGAGTATAATGGCTTTTTTAGACCCCTCATTCGGCAGCCGATAGCGGTTATCGAAGAGCATGACACGGACGACATCGGTCCATCCAACAGACGTACTCGAATGCAATCGAAGACCCGAAAAGCAGCCTTTTTGGATTCAGACACGATGTTCGATCAGGCAGGTGCTGACGCTATTCGACATCAGCAACGGAAAGCTGAAAAGACTCGTAAAAAGACTGTAAAGGCTGACTGG